CTGAGAGATTATATCGTGCGACGACTTTGATGCATGCCCGACTGAAAACAACGTGCAGAAGACAAACAGGCGAGTTGTGGACGTTAAGGTGGTTCCACCATCTATTCCTGAGTAAGCTTTTGACACACCACTTGTAGTAGGAAGAATCTACAACAATCTGTAGAGTACAAAATTAGAGGAAAGTCTCTCAATTCATAAAATCAACAAATTGAAAATCCAAATAGCTCAATACACATATATAAAAGTCTCTTTATAGGGAATAGCTTTATTCAAAAATAAGGAAAGAATTAAAGAAGTAAATGAATGTAACTACTTGAAAGTAAAAATGGAAACAAAGTGTCCTCCCTGCCTCCCACATTCTTAAAATATCTGCGATCCCTAGTCCTTTGTCTCAAAAACTGATGAGAGATAAGTTTTTAAATGGTTCATCACATATACGTATCTCCTGTGAGAATTATATCGTCGACATACATAGTCAACATTGTTATCTTCTCATTTTTTGAATGTTTGTTCTCTTTGTTCTTGCGTATATCTCTGACTTTTAACAAAATGAATAAGTTTCTCAAACCACTATCTCAGTGACTGCTTCAACACTTATAAAGATTTTTTGTAGTTTACATATTTTTATGCTGAACTTCTCACTAAATCCTGGGGGTGCATTCATATACACTTATTTCTGTAAGTCCCCATCGAGGAATTCGTTTTTTATATCTAGATATTGTAGGAGTCAGTGAAGGTTAGCTGCAAGTGTCCGAAGAAATCATATAGGCATGATTTTAAGTAATGAATGCCATAAGTCTAAATGAATCTCTTGGCAATCAGTTGAGTCTTATATCATTCTAGAGAGCCATCAAAATTGTATTCGACTGGAAACATCTATTTACACCCAATAATTAACTTTTCTCTAGTTTGATCAATCAATTACCACGTGTCATTCTTTTTCAAGAGCTTTCATTTCCTTGAAGACAACCTCCATCTATTTAGGAACTTTCAGAACAGCTTGCACAATATTTAGATTTTTCATACACCATAGTGGTGAGGTTAAAACGTGAAAAAAGTGTGAAATATTTTCATATAAAAGATAATGGGACTTTGGATGATGGGTGCAAGACATCACTCCCGTACAAGCAACAATAGGAAGAAAAGAATCATTAGACTTAGGATTAAAACTAGACTCAGATTCATGACTAAAAAATTCAATACTTGAAGTTGAAGTGGACTAAATATGGGATGAAGACACTGGGAGGACATTGCTTATCTAATTATTTATACTACTTTTGAAGGGGAGCGTAACTAGCAAACATTTTTTTTTTTTTCGAGATTCAAGTTTTTTTTTTTAAATTATGAGGATGAATGTGAATAAATAAAGTACACCCAAATTAATTTAAAAGTAAAGAAGATGAGAGTGCTTTTGTTGGATAAGTATTATAAAAAACATTAAAATAAGTTTCAAAATTTAGAACCTTTTTGGTGTTCTATTTATGAGGAATGTAGCCGAATGAACGGTTTTGCCTCAAAGCTATTTTAAAACTTGATTGGTGAATAACAATAACGAAGCTACTTCTAATAAGTGTTTTTTTTCCTTTAAGATGCACCATTTTGTTAATGGAGTTTTGACACAGGAGGTTTGATGGACTATTCTTTCTTTTTTATTTTGAAAAAATATTGACCAAAAATATTTTTGAAATATTCTCGGCTATTGTCATTCCACAATTTTTAACTTTTCTTTTGAAATTGTGTTTATGCCATGACATAGTTTTTTTATAAATGTTTCTAATTCAAATTTTTTTCATTAAAAAAGGTAAGATTATGGCCCGTTTGTGGCAGCTTACTTGGTGTGGTAGCGTTTTGAAAACGCACCTGTTTGGGTAAACTGTGTTTTGACAGCTTATGCGTTTTCAAAACAGTGAAGACAGTTTTTTCACACCACACCTATCTAAGTGCGGTGACAACTTTCTGGCTACTGTTTGGCTTTTCCAAAAAAATAAAAATTTGTAATAGCCACCGCACCTAGCTTATCAACAGATTATTTTTAATCAGCTTATCAACAAATTATTCAATAAGCTGCAGCTGCCTTAAACAGACCCTTAATCTTGTGTGATTATTAGTAAATATTACAAACTAATTTTTATCAGAATATGTAAAAGTTTTACAAAGACCTCGGGCATCGCTATGAATCGAAGTAAATGTATAGTTGGTTTGTAAGTTTGTGGAGAAAAAAGATTGTTGATGATTTTTAACAAACTAACAAACTTCAAATTAAATGGAGGGCATTTATATTTTGACCTCAAATAGGAAGCAAATTATTTAATTGCTAAAAATTAGGATGGCCTAACCGTAATGCCATAACATAATATCATTGTCTTTGAAAAGAAAAACAAAATTTAAACAAGTATGTAGATATTGTCTATTTGGATCAAGCACATTTGTAAAATATTAAGTATATATATATTTTTCCTAGAACTATCAATTGCCCTCCCAGTGATCAATTCATGTTTCTAATTCAAATTTCTTTTATTAAAAAAAGTAAGCTTAATCTTGTGTGATTATTAGTAAATATTACAAACAAATTTTTATCAGAATATATAAAAGTTTTACAAAGACCTCAGGCATCACTATGAATCAAAGTAATTGTACAGTTGGTTTGTTGGTTTGTGGAGAAAAAAGATTGATGATGATGTTTAACAAACTAACAAACTTCGAATTAAAAGGTGGGCATTTATATTTTGACCTAAAATAGGAAGCAAATTATGTAATTGCTAAAAATTAGGATGGCCTAACCGTAATGCCATAACATAATATCATTGTCTTTGAAAAGAAAAACAAAATTTAAACACAAGTATTTTGATTTTGTCTACTTTACAGTTGTAAAATATTAAGTATATATTTTTTTTCCTAGAACTTTCAATTGCCCTCCCAGTGATCAATTCATGATACTCACGACAATGATGGTAGAACTTAACTTTACACAGACTCTAAACTATAATTTTACTAGTGGACAACAAGTTACAAGATATCTTAGGAACAAAATAACACCTAACAATGTAGCGGCTAGAGATATACTCTTTTGTACTAACAAGTAAGATTGAGTAAGGGATAATTTCAAAGATTGAAATAATTGTGCATGTGCTCTATTATTTATTTATTTTTTATTGAAAGGGACTACATCTAAGTTTGCAGAAGACTCCTTAGTTTCCTCAACAATGACTTGATAAGCTCCACTTTTTTGTTTAGATCTTAATTTCTAGTTTGTAGGTTTATCATGAAGCTTCCAACTTGTCTCCTTCGTATGCCATGATTTTTTGTAATGCTCTCACCATGATGGATAAGGCAAAGTGGTTTCAGAATTATTGGAACCAGTAGAAACAAAAGAATATTTTTTGGCATCGGTTGTCGTTGACTTGTACAACATCATCGAAGGAGAGAAGAGGATAGGACAAAAATTCGAGCTGATTTCGGTCGCGGGTTATTTTGATGCTTAAGCTACATTAGGGTAGAAATCGATTGAGATGCCTCCTGCAGAGAAAATTTAAAATTCTTGATAAAAAAATGAATTCTAAGATTGCGTCGCCTTTAATGTATTGATAGTTACGACTCTTAGTTTGACTACTCGATTAGACAAGCGAACAAGAACTAGAGGGGGGAGGACCCTTAGTTTGACTGCTTGATTGGACAAGTAAAAATGAACGACAATGAGGTTTGTAGTTGTTGGATTCCACGAGTTCTGCACAAGGTGAGAAGACAGCTTGGGTAAGTTGAATCAATCGCAGGTGCTAAATTCTTTGCTAATTTAAATCAATCTGAACCAAAGGGAGAAAAAAATCTGTACAAGAAATGATTCGCAAAAAGTTGAACGAAGCATTTGAGCAATCTATGGAATTTGATCACTATTTTGTGCTATGTTCGAACAAAAAATTCAAAATTGTGAAGCCTGAGACTCGTGCATACGAGTGAGACAAAGATGGAGATTTAGTTTGACATCTAAGATTGCATAGGCGAATCCTATGGATTCGTTGTCGTAAATGGTGTGTAGTTCAGATCAGGACTCGTCATTGGTGATGAAGACGTTAGGAACTTCGTTGTCTTTGTTCTTGAAGATGAGCAGAGATTCAATATTTGGATGGTATCATCGTTCAAAGATGCAGAGTAGAACGTGCCACTATTTGACCACTAAGATGTGCAGTGGTTGAGGAATAAGTTTTTAACGAAAGAGAATCTTACTACTCTGCCATGTAATTTTTTGGGAGTCACAAAAAAAGAACTATTCTTCTAAAATTTCATTACATGTTTACTAGATAAATATCCGGGGAAGACCACCAAATTAGGAAAACCACAAAATCCCCGTGCTAGATAAAGGAACTATAAATAAAAAAAATTACCAACAATAAAATTATAAAAATAGAAAATATTAAAAATTTCTAAAATAACGGCAGCCTTGAAATCATTTAGTGAATACATAAATATTATTAGTACCGCTTCTAGTTCCACCAATGGAACCACTAGAACTTTTGAAACAGTTGAAAGAATCAAAATTTTTTTAAAAAATAGTGGGTTGTGTAATTGTATCATGTTGGAAGAGGTTAACGTATGCAGATGGAAGTGAGATTATAGAAATTAATTGGGCCTTTTTTATAAAAAATGGCACGACAAAGTCAATTCGATCTTTCTCTGGTAAATTTTAATCCTTGTATGTACGAGGCTGTGACAACTATGATGATTATTCTTTAGTGAAGGTTGTATCAATGAATCGTAATATTCTTTATTACATTTAAAATATTTGTTTTATCAAATTATTATTCAGATGTTGATTTGTTGGAATTCTTGTATGTGGAATGATGAGTGCTGAAAAAATTACAATTATTTTTTGAAACGACTCGTCCTCTTGAATTATGCTAAAAGATTTTTTTGAAACTTATGTTATTTTTTATACAGTCTCAGTGTTTGAGATTTAATTGTCTTGTACAAATAAATGTCCTGAAATTTTGCAAATGTTTCTACAGCCATTTTGGAAAGTGCTTCAAGAAGGTTCTAGTCGTGGGAGATGTGTTGTTGGTATGCATTTTATAAATTTATTTCCCACTAAGTTCGAATTTACGAAATTAACATTTTGCTAATCAACAGGAATCATTGAAGCAAATTTTATTGAGCCAGCTCATGACAAACAGGATTTTGAAAGAACACCCTTATTTATTAGGTTGGAGACAAAGCTCAGACAATTGATCATTGAATACTGGTATGTGCATGTGTAGTTTGTCACATATTACTCTTAATGCAGTCATTCATATTGTTGTGTTACGTTTCTTAGTTTCACATTTTATAATTTTATTTTTGTTTTATGGAAAAATAGAGTGTTTTTACAAGTGAACTTGAAACAACCCATTTAATGAGTGGAGCAACCGCTTTCCATTTTGGGTTATAGGCCTTTTAATTATATCTAATCCAGTTTCATGTCACTCTAAAATAGAATTGGGATGCGAATCTTTATTGAATTGGTAAGATTTATCTAGAAAACAAAGATAGGGCTTCTATGGAGGAAACCTACTCTACCTGAGAGGGTTGAGAGAACAGAATGACAGCTTACCAGCTCTCAGGCGCCATAGAAATTGAGGAGAAGAATCCATCAATTGCTTCAAGCTTATTTGCTACATCCTAAAGGGCTCTATTTATAAGAGGCTGATGATATATTTATATCTATCCTGAAATCCAACTAAATGCACTGTTTTTGTAGTTCTTATTCTAATTTTCTTACATTCATTCAAGTTAAAGGATAATCATAATATGACAAGGAAATATTTTGTTGGATGATACCCTTATAAGGTTCCTAGAAGTTTTTTAGGAAGCATGTTTTTACAAGGAGGTAGTTATGGAATGACAAGGGAATGATAAAATGTGATTTTAACGGTGTGTGGAGATGGATTAACATCGATCGACTACTTTTCTTGCTGAAAACAACGAGCTAATGATAATTCATCGAGGTGCGTAGGGTATCCACTAGCTGTTCATCAACAAGATGCAGCACAACCCTTTCAAAAGGTATAAGATACAATATTCTGAAGAGCATAAAATAGAGATTACAATGCTCACAATAAATTAAACCAAAGCTAGCTGTTCCAAATAGTTCAATAACATAGATATAGTTTCCTCATAGAAAATACCCTATTTAGAAAGAAAGAAAGAAATAGGAAATAATTAGATAGGGAAGAAAATAATTCATGGATGACAATATCCTGATCTGTCTCCCCGTGATTGTGGGAATTTCACAAATCACGGAACTGCGGGACCACAATATTGACAGAAGCTTGATCGCATGATTCCGTGCAGGACAATCCCACGTCATTCACTCCGACTATGAGAGGCTCAACCTTCTTCACTAGAAGCTCTAGGAAGCGGTATATTTCCACCGTGATAAAGTCACCACCGTGTTGTGTTTGAGGCAATCCCATTACAAATATATGCTCGTGTTCATTCCATGCAACTATTAAACACATATATCATTTCAAAGCACATTCTGAGAGAATAAATAGCCATTCTTTTTTGACATAATTAGAGTTAAAACTACTTATAAACGAGTATTCCTATGGACCAAGCCTCTTGCCATTAAATCTTTAACCTGTTTCTCTCGCTCGTACTTGCTTGGATGCATCCAATAAATAAATCTATATAGAGAAATGGACCCTGAAACGACATCCATGTCATGTCAGACTACTCTCAATAGCAACCACCCAGGAGATAAATTGTCAGTCATGATATCTGATAATTCTCTCAACCGGGGCTGTCCTTTTTCAGGTATTGCGACTCAAAATAATTATTTTATTTGGCAATCAATGTTAATGCTGTTCTGATCTCTTTCTTTGGCTCAAGGGACCAACTCAAGTATTCAAGTTTAGTGTAGTATGTTATCCTTCCCCTGTTCATTGCGCTGGGCGAGGAGAACACCCATGGGATCGTTTAACGCAAAGTTTTTCACCTAGAAAGAAGAAATTCAACTGCTACTACAAAAAAAAGAAGAGTGGGTTCCCTCATTTCTATGGTAACTTCAGCCTAAATCACTAGTATATCGCCCTCATCAGTTTGAAGTTGAGACTTGTCTCTGACGTCTTCTTTTTCTTGTGTCATTGCCCATTTCTTCAAATTCTCTCTACTCAGTGAAGGAGATGAAGGAGATCACTCTTCTATTTTGGCGGTTAGAAGTCACGTGGCTAAAATTGTAACAATTGAAGCATTTATTGTCGAAGATGGATTTAGGAATGCTGGTGAGTTACACCTTTTCTCCACTCTAGATTAGTTTCTTTTTGGGTGGAATTATCTTGGATGCTCCATTGTGTGTACCATGATTGTCCGATTCAATGACTGAACCCAATTTGAAGGGTTTTGTGGTTCATATATTAATGTGTTCTTTCTCCACCTTCAGGTTAGGGTTTGAACATCTTGTAATGTCTAAGGCTATAACTGTACCACATTTTCAATGGACGATGTCGGTCTCCTCAAATTTTGAGCTAGAGTGTTCTCTTTGGGCTTCATTTGTCCACACTTCTACATAAGCTGCTCAAATTCAACTGCGTACTCCTCTACTGAAAGATTTATCTGCTGTAAATGATGAAGCCTGAAGAACACGTCCTATTCGTAATGTATTGGTAGATAATTGTGTTAACAGTGAAAGCTAAATAATAGAAGGAAAGAAAAAAGAGAAATTTAGGAGTGCTGGTGGGTTACACATTTTCTCCACTCTGGATTAGTTTCTTTTTAGGTGGAGTTATCTTGGATGATCCACTGGGTGTACTATGATTGTCTGATTCGATGGCTGACCCAATTTGAAGGGTTGTGTGGATCATATACTTATGTGTTCTTTCTCCACCTTCAAGTTAGTGTCAGGACATCTTGTAATGTCCATCAAGGTTGCAACTGTACGACATTTTCAATGGACTATCTCAGTCTCCTAAAATAATGAGCTATATTGTTCTCTTTGAGCTTCATCTGCCCACACTTCAACATAAGTTGCTCGAACTCGAGTGTCTGCTCCTGTATTAAAAGATCTTTCTGCTGTAAGTGATGAAGCCTCAAGAACATGTCCTATTTATAATGTACTGGTAGATAATTGTGTTGAGAGTAAAAACTAAATAATAAAATCAAAGAAAAAAGAGAAATTTAAAATATATGAAAATTCATATTACCTAATCTTGCCCAATAATGCTAGTAACTGTTATCGATGCAGTTCATGTATCCCCGTATTTTCTTCTTTGATTTCACATAATTGATGAGGGGACAAATAGAGAAACACCGCCCTTGTTCTCATTGATTGAGCGATATGGTCGCGACTGTTGTTAGCGTGAAAAGAAACAACTTGAACACAACATACAGGGACCTCTAAAATTCCTCTCTACTTGCTATACGAGGCTAACCTAACACCTGCTTTACTTTGCATGACAGAGTCAAACGTGAATCTCTCTTCTCTGGAAATACCATTTTCATCTTCTCCATTTTGCTTTTGCATGATCCCCTGCTCTTCCTTGCCGAAACCCTTGCATCCCTACCCCCTCACGCTTGTTTTCTCTGATATAGTTGCAATTAGGGCTGGCTGAGAAGGCAATGAAGGGATCACGACATACAAAGACGTTTGAAATTCTCATCCTTTTCTCCTTCTGCTCTGTCTCCACTGCACAACAAACAAACTCCACTCTCCATCTTTTGTTTGATCACTTAGAGATTATAACTCACGTGTTTACCTTGCACCATATGTATCTGCGAGTTCAAGCACTCTTGGAAAAATTCCACAACATTTGAAGCAAGTGATTTTGCTGGAAAAAGGAGCGGCATGAAGGAAAGGATGTTGATTATGAGGCCATAATGGCTAATAAATTAGCCATTTGAAAGTAAATATTCAACTTGGAGAAGGATGAGATAATTAATTTTCGCCCCTTGTAATTCTTAACAGATAATAAGTGGCATAACCCACTCCAGGACTTGGGAGTAACTAAGACGGGAATAGACAGTGAGAACTAAGTTTCCTATATTCATTTATCATTTAACAAATGAAATAGCTACTAATAAAATTAAATTAAAACAATATTTAAATTTACCTCGTTACTGGTTGTTTGCGTCTTCTATACACGTTCTCTCAAACAGTCGGAAGTGAGAACTAAGTTTTCTATATTCATTTATCATTTAACAAATGAAAGAGCCACTAATAAAATTAAATTAAAATAATATTTAATTTTACCTCATTACTTTTTGTTTGTCTTCTATACTTATTCTCTCATCTATCGTTCATCTTTTAATCAATTAAATTAACATGAAAATTTAGTTTAAAAATAACAGTAAGCTAAACAAGTTAGTGAACACTCAAACTTCTAAACTATAGTAATACCAGAGAAAAAAAGTAATATGAATGTTGGTTAAGTTTTTTAATAAATTAATAAAAAACATTTGATATTTTATTCAATGAATCTTATTATATCAATATCATTCTAGATCTGTACGATCGTTACAGGAGCGCCGTCTAAAAGTTGTCTTAATTAAAACACATTAATATTAATATTCTTTTCTATTTAAGTGCACGAGTACCGTAGTATTCTCTTACCAGTAACATAAAGGGATGACTCAATCGTAGTCAGTCATACAAACAATCAACATAAACATATCATTCATGTACTCATCACATTCAAAACAACATATTGTATAAAACATACACCAATGAATTATAGATAGTAACTACAAACAGTCATAACAATATGAAGATAAACAAATAATCTCAATCAGCATAAAGCATGTGAGAGTGCTATATTGCAAACTAGTTTAGAAGAAATGAATTATTATTGTAAATTAAAAGTACGAGTACTCATCTCTATGTTGATTAATTTGTTATTTGATTATCCTTGAATTTATCATAACCTCGATCATTTTTTCTTAAAATTTAAGCCTAAATTAAGCAGGAATATAAAAATTAGTTTATTTATTAAAATATTTACTTTAATTCTTTATGTGTCGAATTATTATTATTATACCGTTTATAATCCTCTCTCTCTCTCTCTATATATATATAAGCCTGAATATCGCTAAAGAACAACCACCCACTATCCCTGTTGAGAAGATGCAACCCGATACTCTTCCCAACACCGCAGTTCTTGAAGAAAAACAACATACTACAGCTACAGATCCAGTTGTGCTCATACTACCCATTGTTATTGAAGACTCACTCACATGGCAAGACACACGAGAACGCTCATTTGATTCAAT